ATGCGGCAACAGTTGATGGGAAGCCCGACACGAGCGTGTGGGTGTGGGCTGTGGAGAGTGACGCGATCATCAGCCAGGCGTTTGGCGTCGGTGGCCGCTGCCCCGTCTCCCAGCAGTGGGACAACACTGACGGCCGCGTGAGTTGCACATTCATGGATGGAGGGTTGCACCTGCTCTGTGCGTTGCATTTCAAGTACGCTGTTTTCACAACGCAAGTTACATGTCGCAGACGCACACACTTGCGTACACACACACACACACACACACACGAACTCACTCTGCATTCGTCTCCCTCTCTCCCTCCCTCCCTGTCTCCCCTTCCACACACACACAACACAACACAACACAACACAACACAACACAACACAACACAACACAACACAACACAACACAACACAACACAACACAACACTTCCTTCCTCCCCTCCCCCATCACTGCTTCGCCTGCAGCTGCTGGTGTGCGAGACTCATCTCCCGTCCTCGGACGACGGCAGTGCGCACGCGGAGGCCACGACCATCTTCATGACGCCTGATAACGGAATGGTGGTCCAGCAGACCACCGCCCTGACACCGCTGGATGTGGGCCCGCTGCTTGGCGTGCAGGTGCCTAACCTGTACTTTGCCCTGCGCGGCAAGTCTGACGAGGGCCACATCACCCGCGCCGTCCCCATGCGCGACTTTGCAGGCCTCGAGAACGCCGACAAGGGTGCGTTGACAGCAACTATTGCTATTGCTATTGTTCTCGTTCTCGTTCTCGTTCTCGTTCTCGTTCTTGTTCTTGTTCTTGTTCGCGGCTTGTGTCGGCAAACTCTTGCGTTGGCTAACGCAGCAACACATTTGCATGTGTTCCTCATTCCATCCACGACCATTGCACCACCACCATTGCGCCTCCCCCCCCTCTCCCTGCCTGTGCACAGACACCAAGGCGGCGATGCTTGAGTTCAGCTACCAGCTCACGGTCGGCAACCTCGATGCCGCCTTCAAGTCTGTCCGCGCCATCGACAACGCCTCCGTGTGGGCCAACATGGCACGCATGTGCGTTGCCAACAAGCGGCTGGATGTCGCTGCGGTGTGCATGGGCAAACTCGGCGACGCCCCCGCCGCCCGCGTCCTGCGCGAAGCAGACAAGGAAGCCGAGGTGGGCATGAAGGCGTGGTGGTGGCGGTGGCGGTGGTGGTGTGAAGAGATTGCGTTGGGGCGGAAGGAAGGCAGGTTGTTTATGTGTATGCTGGGCTACCTTCTATGTGTTGTGCTACTGTGTGTCCTGTTTCTTTGCATGCTACGCTGCTTGCACACGTCTCACCATTCCTCCACCATGCGACTTGCAGCCCGAGGCAAAGGTTGCTGCGCTTGCCGTGCAGCTGCGCATGTACGAGCAAGCCGAGCAGCTGTACAAGGACTGCGGGCGCTACGACCTCCTCAACCGCCTGTACCAGGACCAGGGCAGGTGGGACGACGCCGTGCGCGTTGCACTTGAGCACGACCGCATGCACATGCGCAACACGTACTACCGCTACGCGCAGCACCTTGAAGCGCTGGGCAGGACGGCCGACGCCATCAAGCACTATGAGCTGGCGGAGACGCACGCGTTTGAGGTGCCGCGGCTGCTCTTCAACGAGCCGGAGAACCTCGAGGCATACGTCAAGCAGAGCAAGAGCAAGCAGCTCCTCAAGGTTGGTGTGCATGTGTATGTGTGTGTGTGTGTTGACGTGTGCAGACACGTGTGTGCTCGTGTGTTGCCCCTGACTTGTATTGTTTGACATGCCCTCACACACATATCCACGCATTCGCTCACCATCTCCTCTGCGCTCCTGCCCTCTGTGCAGTGGTGGGCGCAGTATCTGGAGTCGACGCAGGAGCTTGACGAGGCGCGCAAGTTCTACGCGGCCGCAGACGACGCGCTGTCGCTCGTGCGCGTGTACTGCTACTGCGAGGAGGTGGACAAGGCACGTGAGCTTGTCTCCACGTCCAAGAACAAGGCCGCCGCCTACCACCTCGCAAAGTGCGCCGCCCGTGCTGTGTGGGAGAGAACGGAATATGGAGACAGGGATGAGAAGAGAGGAATTGGAAGATAAAACAGAGAGAGCGTGTAAAGTTGCCTGTGCGATGTGTGTGCGTGTGTGTGTATGAGCACGTTCACGTGCACAGCGTTGTTGAGCCAAGCCACCTCTGCTGACCTTACTTGTTCGTCTGCGTCGAGTGCAGGTATCTTGAGGACATGGGCGAGTTTGAGGAGGCTGTGTCCCTCTACTCCCAGGCCGCGTCATACAACAACGCCATCCGCCTTGGTGAGACGAGCACTTCCGGGAGAAGGGTTGAATGTGTTTTGGCGTACGTTCGTGTGCAGGTGCACTTGCTTTGCTGTCTTCTCCGCGCTGACGCTTGCGCCCCACATGCGCATGACAACGTGCCCCTCAATCACCACTCCACCACTCACCAGCGTCCCTCATCCCCACTCATCACCACTCATCACCACTCACCGCCACTCACCGCCACTCTCAACTTCATCATCACTCACCGCCACCACCACCACCACCGCTTCTCAGCCAAGGAGCACGGGCTGAAGCAGCAAATGCTGAGCCTGGCGCTCAAGTCCACCAAAGGGGACATGATGTCCGCTGCAGAGTACTACGAGTCGCAGGGCGCGTTTGACAAGGCCGTCATGCTGTACCACAAGGCCGGCCGCGTCTCCAAGGCGCTGGACATGTGTTTCCAGCACAACCTCTTCCAGGCGCTCTCTGAGATTACGCAACACCTCTCTGAGGGCACGGATCCCGAGCTGCTGGAGAAGGCCAGCTCGTTCTTCACCAACAACGGCCAGGTGACCAGCATGGCCGGGGGGGGGGTTGTGCACATGTGCGCGCGCGGTGAATGTGGATGAGCTGTTGATTGTCGAGCTTGAGGTTGGTACCATTACGCTCACACATCCTTCCTTGCTATCGCAACACGGCTCCCCATACATCCATCCATCAACCCATCCATCCATCCGTCCTGCAGTATGAGAAGGCTGTGAATCTGCTTGTTGTCGCGGGGCAATTCCACGACGCCCTCGACCTCATCGCCCGCCACGGCGTCCACCTCACCGTCAGTCGCACAAACGCCTTTGCACTGTGGCCACTGTGGCTGTCCTGTTTGCGTGGTTGTGTGTGTGTGTTTGGGTGTGTGTGTGTGTGTGTGTGTGTGTGTGTGTGTGTGAACATCGCTGATCCCCACCCACACCACGCCACACATTCCATTTTCCATCCCACTTCTTCTTTCCCCCTCACAAACTCACTCACACACACATCCATCCAACAGGACGAGTGGGCGGAGAAGATGACGTATGCGCGTGGAGAGGTGGACAAGAAGGTCCGCAACGCGCTCCTCACCCGCATCGCGGACGTCTGCTTCAACCAGGTCCGGGTGATGGAGTGCAGCGGTGGAAGGAAAGGGAAGGAAGAGGGAACGTGATTTGGTACCACGTGTGTGTGTGTGTGTGAGCGTGGCTGTCGCTGATTCTACCCTTGCGCATCCCACTCTTGATCCCGTGCTGACTTTCATTCCCTCACACGTCTCCATTTCCGCCCTTCCCAATACCTCGACCAATTCTCAGGGGTCGTATCAGCTCGCGACGCGCAAGTACACGCAGGCCGGGCAGCACGTGAAGGCCATGAAGGCGCTGCTCAAGTGCGGCGACACGAACAAGATCATCTTCTTTGCCAATAAGTGCCGGCAGCGCGAGGTGTATGTGCTCGCCGCCAACTACCTGCAGAGCCTCAACTGGCGACGCGACCCGGTGCGAGCACGGCGCTTGGCTGTGGCCGCGTGTAATGTGCTGCGTTGTGTGCGTGTGTGTGTGCGTGTGTGTGTGTGTGTGTGTGCGTGCGTGCGTGCGTGCATGCGTGCGTGCATGCGTTCGTGTGACCTTCCGAATGTCTTCTTCACCCGCATATCATCATCCCCACCATCATCTCCACCTCACCCCCCCCCCTCCCCGCTTCTCAACTTCACATACATTCGCCGCTGCAGGAGATTATGAAGCACATCATCTCGTTCTACACCAAAGGCCGCGCCCTGGACTCGCTCGCGTCCTTCTACGAGGCATGCGCCGGCGTCGAAATCGACGACTACCAAAACTACGAAAAGGTACGCGCACGACTGGTTGTGTGTGTGTGTGTGTGTGTGTGTGTGGTTGTGTGTGTGTGTATGGTTGTGTTCGTGTGTGTGTGTGTGTGTGTGTGTGTGTGTGTGTGTGTGTGTGTGTGTGTACTCTTCACTTTGTCCTCTTCAACTTTCCCTTCAATCACACATCCCCTCGCCTCATCCCCTGCCCCAATCTCCACCGTCACGACCCTCTCCACTGTCTCCACTGTCCCCCTCTCCACTTCCATTGTTGTTAGGCGCTTGGGGCGTTGAACGAGGCCCTGCGGTGCATGAGCCGGGCCAAGATGAAGGATCTGGACCTGCAGGAGCAGCGCGTTGCGTCCCTCCAACAGCGCATTGAGTCAACGCGCAGGTGAGAAGTGGTGAAGGGTTGGACAGGACGGGTGTTGGTGTTGGTGGTGTGCAACGTGTACATGTGTGCGTGATGCTGTGTCATGTGTGCGTGATGGTGGGGGTAATGCCATACACACACACATGCATACATACACGTATACGCACACATGCTCACGCATGCCCAAACTCCCTGCTGCCTTGCGTCAGGTTTGTCGCGGCGAAGCAGATTGCGGAGGAAGATCCTTCTGAGATGGTCGCGCAGATGCAGCAGCTGCTGCAGGAGCCCGACATTGATCAGGCCGTCCGCATTGGCGACATCTACGGCGTCATCATCGAGTACGACTTGCTACACCTCTTTGCGGGCGCGTGTGTGTGTACATATATGTGTGTGTGCACGTCTGTGTTGTGTGCACCTGTGCGTGCGTGCGTGTGTGTGTGTACCTGTGCGTGTTCGTGTGTGTACATATGTGAGCGCATGCACGCTTGCACCTATCCACCGTCTTCCCCACCTCACCCGCACATCTCCATCTTCGTCTCAAACATCGCTGCAGGCACCTTGCGAGCAGGGAGCAGTATGCAGAGGCATACGACAACATGCAGGAGCTTCGCAAGCGCATTCCCAACGTCAACGTTGCCTACTACGTCAACATGCGTGTGATTGAGGCCGTGCACAACGCCCTGAACATCCCGCTTGGCCAGGGCCAGGGCCCCGCTGTTGGCGGCGGCGATGACGACGAGATTGGCGAAGAGATTGAAGGCCAAGACGTCTGATGCGCTCTTATGCGTGTGTGCGTGCGGGGTGTGTGTGTGTGTGTGTTTGTGCGTGTGTGTGTGTGTGTGTGTGTGTGTGTGAATGATTGTGTGTCTCTTCATCTTCGTCTTGCTTGTTTGCTTTGTGCTTCTTGCCTTGTTGTTGTCTCAACAACGAACAAATTGATGAGTCAGCACTTTGTTCATGTATGTTTCGCACGAAATGTGCTGAGGCGCCACTTCTATCCACCAGCACTTTGTATGGATTTGTCTCGAGTGCGCGCTCAGCTGCCAAACCAAGCGAAAGCGGGCAACAAAGAAACAAACAACAACAACTTGGCACAGCTTGCTTGCCTTGCTTGAAGTGTTCAAGTGTGCTGTGCTTGGTTGAGTGGTGAGTGCAGTCGAGAGCGTGAGTGCATTGGGACGCACGCAGTCAGCCGGAGGCAAGCGGTGACGGCACCGAGTGGAAGCAGTGGTGTAGTGGTCGGTGGTGTAGGACCTGAGGGCAAGCGCACGCGCAGCAGGGCAGTCAGTGGTGCCAGTAGCAACAGGAAGGATGGCGGATCGACGCATGACCTTGGCGGACAAGTACGGCCAGCCGATGGAAGCCGTGCTGGGCATGACACATGGCTTGTTCCGCACAAAGAAGCAGCACAACGTGTCCATCACAAAAGAAGGCAACCTGGTTGTCCTCAAGACGGCAGACGAGGGCTCAGACGTCCTGGTGCGTAGGCGTGATTGTGCTGCTGTGTGTGTATGTATGCGCAGTGTGTGTGTGTGTGTATGCGCAGTGTGTGTGTGTGTCTGTCTGTCTGTCTGTCTGTCTCTCTGTCTCTCTGTCTGTCTGTGTGTCTGTGTCTGTGTCTGTGGCTGTGTCTGTGTTGTGTGCTGGTCGTAGTGAACTTGGGTTGGTTGGACGTCTGCAGTCATGCCGCCAGAGCGGGACCTCAACCTTGCTTGGTGCCAACGCCACTGTGCCAACGTCACTGCACTGGTGCACCATGTTGCTTGTTGCGTTGGTACTGCAGCATGCCATCCCATTGAAGGACATCCATTCGGCCGGCACGACCTACGACGACGACGATGATCGCCTGCAGTTTGTGGTGCGTATTCCCTGCTTGCCTGTGCTGCTCACACTTGCTGTACTTACCACAACGCAGCTGTTTCAGCCACCCTTGCTCTCGCATCGTCGGCTCATTGCCGGAACCCCTGCTGACGCTGCTGCTGCTGTTGATGATGATGCTCGTGGTTGGACTGCACGCGCTGCAACAGGTTTGTACAGGCACTGGCTCGTTCACCTTCTTGGCTCCGGACAAGGCCACGCTGAAGCGCTGGGTGCTTGCGCTCAACCCTCCCAGCAGCGGCGGTTCAGGTGTGTGTGTTGTGTTGTGTTGTGTTGTGTTGTGTTGTGTTGTGTTGTGTTGTGTTGTGTGTTGTGTTGTGTTGTGTTGTGTTGTGTGTGTTGTGTTGTGTTGTGTTGTGGTGTGGTGTGGTGTGTTGTGTTGTGTTGTGTTGTGTTGTGTTGTGTTGTGTTGTGTTGTGTTATGGGGGCTGCGTGGCTGCGTGTACCTCTGAATGCGTGCCAGCCTGTATGCCTTGCTCGTTGAGACATCGCCAATGCTCACGCGTGCGTTGTTGGCGTGATAGAGTCGGGATGGCTGACGGTGAACAAGAAGAAGCGTTTCTGTGAACTCCGCAAATCCTCCGTCGTCATGTTCAAGGAGAAGGTGCGTGACGCCCCACGTGCTGGTACATTAACGTGACCCATTGTGTCAATGACTCCTCACGCTCGCGCGCAACCATCGCAACAATCACCACCACAGCCATTGGCTGTTGGGGCTGCCTTCCTTCTGCTGCTCACGCACTCCTACCACCCACCTCACTCAATCAACACCACCGCCATCACGACGACTGTTGGCAGGAGGACCGTGATCCGTGCGGGGCGATTGCGCTGGACTGCCTGTGCACTGTCATCCCGCCCCAGCAGACGGGCGCACCAACAGGCAGTGAGTGGTCGCACTGCACCATGTTGCAGATGCTGCACACGTGCTGGTGTTCAGTCAATGAACTGTGCCGCAGTGTGAACCCTTTCTCATCCTCATCATTGTCGTCACAGCGTCATCCCAGTGTCGATCTACGACATCACACCTCCCGTTCCTCTTCCATCACCACCCCTCATGTCACCATCACCTCCCCTCATGTCACCATCATTCCATTGCTGCTGCAGTGCGCCGCATGACATCGCGCGGCGTGACCTTCTACGTCAACACCGCCGGCCAGCAGTGGGCCATCACAAGCAAAACCGTCGCAGACGCAAATCGCTGGATCACCGCAATCCAGGTGGGTGTGTGTGTGTGTGTGTGTGTGTGTGCATATGTGTTGTTCCACAGTGACCCTTACATGCCCACGTCCACCCATTCACACACATTTACTCACATGCACAACCTCACACCAACGTTGCGTGTGCAGGATGCGATTGAGTGTTGCCCTGACCTGACGACGCGGTTTGACAAGCTGGCGACGGCGCACCAGAACTCGGACACATTCACACTCGACGAAGTCTTCCTCGACAGAGCCGTGCGTTTTGCTTCCCTGAATTCAGGGCGTCGTGCTGATCATGTGGCGGTGTTGTTGTTGTTGTTGTTGGTTGTTTGTTTGTTTGTTTGTTTGTTGTTGTTGTTGTTGTTGTTGTTGTTGTTGTTGTTGTTGTTGTTGTTGTTGTTGTCGTCGTCGTCGTCGTCGTTGGTTGTATCGTGGCGTGTCACACATGGCGTGGAACGGAATTGGTGGGGAATGGGAGGTGATGACACATGACTATCTACACTGTTGCTTCGGTGCAGTCCTTCATCTCAGCCAACAGCTTAGCCATTGCCTTTGACTGCACACGTCTCACATCACACAATGTCACCACCTCTGTGTGTGTGTTCATATGTGCAGATTCTGTGCTATTCGGATGAACCGCTTGAGATGCCGCTGACGCCGCTGCCATATGGGAAGATTGGCAAAGTCCCGTCCGGCAACGAATACGGCCACCCGCACATCGGTACGCACGCTCATCCCGCGGCTATGGGGCCTGTGTGTGTGTGTGTGTGTGTGTGTGTGTGTGTGTGTGTGTGTGTGTGTGTGTGTGTGTGTGTGTTTGTGTGTGTGTATGTGTATGTGTATGTGTGTGTTGGTTTAATTGTGGTGTGCTTTACACTCTCAGTCCACTCCTGCGACACCCCCACCCAACTTGCTTGTACTCAATCCTTTCACACTCCCTCACTCCCAACCACAACACCCCAACAATGCCCTCCCCCCTCCTCTCTCCCTCTCCCTCTTGCTTGTGTGCAGAGGCGCTGGCCATTTTCCAGAGCATGATTCCGCGGTCAAAGGTCCGGTTTGGAAACGTCATGGACGGCGAGCCGTGGATCAGAAACCTCCTCCAGGTGTGTTTGGTTTGGAGGGTTTTGGAGGGTTTTAGAGGGTGGGAGGGAGGCCTGATGGCATGTGGGGTGTGGTGTCGTGGTGTGATCATAGCGCATACACGTGTTATCGTTTGTTCGTGGCGATTGGAGGATTCAAAAAGTGTTGGTTTGCACGGTTGGAGTAACGTGAGTATGAAATGACGCCTCGCCATGCGTTGCTCACTCCGTTGCCTCCATCTCCATCGATCACAGGTGTACCTGGAGGTGCCAGCGCTGAGAAACGAAATTTTCTGCCAGAGCGTCAAACAGATCACACGCGTATGTTCCTCCTCACGCTGTGTGCGTGTGTGTTTGTGTGTGCGTGTGCGTGTGTGTATGTGTGTGCGTGTGTGTATTATGTGTTGTGCATGTGTTTTGTGTTCTATCTTTGACTGTTGCTTGAACACTTGCGTGATGCTCACACCACAGCTCACCTGCTTTTTTTCCTTCGTACCCGCATCAAACACACCCAACACACCCAACACACACCCCGACCCACACGTACACGCACCCGCGCAGCTGCCTGACATCCATGGGCGGTTTGCGATTCGCCACTGGCAGCTGGTGGCGGCGCTGTGTGCGCACTTTCGGCCGGCAAGCAAGTACTTCAACTACATCCGCGCGTGTCTTCATCACGCGGCGCAGAAGAGCGACAACCACGAGATTATCCGCCAATGCGCAAACTACTGCCTGGAGAAGATGCAAAAGCCAGCCACACTCCCAGCCATATCCGATGAACGTGCGTCTGTTTGGGGTGTGTGTCTGTGTCTGTGTCTGTGTCTGTTTGTGCCTATGTGCGTGCTTGTTCTCGTGCCTGTCCTCGTGTCTGTTCCTGTCACTTGTGTGTTTGTTCATGTGTGTGTAAGAACGCGTCATGCCTGCCACTTTCGTGGACTGACTCTTCCACCTCCTACTTTGGTCTTGCACCTCCACCCTGACCCTCACCTTCCTCCCACCATTCCTTTTCCCGGTTTTGCGTTGTGCAGTGATGCGTGAGATTATGAGCGGCCAAGGATTTGCGGAAACGGAATCCGCGCAGATGGTCCTCAACCACGTGAGTTCCTTCTCGCACGCGTTTGTGGGGACATGCACGCACAATCCGTGCGCTCTTCTGTTGTGTTTTGTTGTTTCTTGCTTAAATCGCACTTGGCGTTGATGGCCAACACACACACGCACGCACACACACACACACACACACACACACACACACACACACACACACACACACACACACACACACACACACACACGACCCACGATCGCACTGCATGCGCGGCTTGTGATTTGGTTCAGGTGGAGGAGCCGGACTGCGAGGCGTGAGCTTTCACATTGCTAAATGACCCCTCTTCTTTCTCTACTTCTTCAGCTCCCTGCCCTTGTTCTCTCGCGCTGGCATATGTGTGCATGATTGACGCGCCTTTCCCCTTGGGCTGTCACTTCACTTCACCCTACCCATCTCTTCCTCGTGTTCCGTGCACACCATGTGGCGTTCCCTACAACATGTTCTGTTCTTCCATCATCATTCCTTTATTTTTTTTCTTCCTTTGCTGACATCCTTATGGTTACACGACTGTTCACTTGTTCTGTCTGTACTGACCAATTGATCGCGCGTTTTTGTCCGCTTTCTGCTCGTCTTCTTTGTACCGCCCCAGCTCCAACCCATCCTCATGATTTCCGTGTTGGCGGTGGGTGAGGCTTGGGTGTTGCCTGTTTGCTCCTGTGCACCCTGGGGGGGGGGGGGCGGGGGGGCTTGCTTGGTTGCTTGTCGTTTGCTTGTTGTTGTCGCTGTGTCGAGCGTGAACCCCCTTCTTCTTTGTTTTTGAACACTTTGTTTCGTCTTCACACCGTGATCCCGCTCTGTTGCTGTCGTTGTTCCTTCATCTTGCCCTTGAATGTGATGCTGTGTCGTCCTTTGGCTGCCTTTTTTGACGTGCATTCTTCTTTTTTGAGTCGTCTTGATGTTGCGTGTCGTCGTGTTTGCCTGCTTCTCAACTGATCGTGTGCCCAGTCCACATATAAGTGCATGCAGCCCCTCATCCAGCAACATGTGTGGGGGTGGAGGTGGGGGTAGGATGGTGTGGATGTGGCTATGTGTATGTGTGTGTGTGTGTGTGTGTGTGTGTGTGTTGACGATGCTCGAACAACAAGGGGGGGGGGCAGCTGGGGCGTTTCAACTCACAGCACCCGTGCAGCAGCTTCAGGCTATTGTTGGGGCGGGAGGGAAGATAATGAAGTACAGCCTCGGATGCTCGAGACGGATCAACATCCTCTGCTGAGCCTGTCTTGGTACTTCTTTTCCCAAGCTGCCCGCTCTTACTCTAATGCCCAATGCCCTCGTCATCTGCAACAGCCGCCAAGCTGCTCCTGCTTTGCTGAACTGCAAAAGCTGTCGCTGGCTTCCATCTTTCTTCTCCTGATTGTTGCGTTGTGCCCCCCCCCCCAACCAATACATGACATCAGATCAGATGCACTTCTAATTCCTGATGTAGGTCACTGGACTACCACTAACAGTCGTTGAACAACCTTGTTGCTTTGTTGTGAGGGCGAAGAGAACGAGCCAAGCAATAAGTAAAGAAGTAAGCAAACCAAAACGTGAGTGCCATGGCGCCATGCATCCCAAGAGCCCGACCGTTGCTGATTTTTGTGACCACCAATCGCGTCCCATCCCATTTGTACATATGAAACAGTGCAAAATGACGTCATTTATTCTTCTCGTATTGCTGCATCGCGTCAGAGATCAGCAGATCACAGCCAGTGGACTACTAACAGTCGTGCAACGAGCTGGCGCACAGAAGAAGAGCAAAAGCGACGTGCGAAGGGAGAACATCGCGGTGTTACATCGAAAGAGAAAGACAACCAATCGCACCCCATCTGTGAATAAAACAGATGAGGCGTGCAAAAAGCATGCAAGATGACGTCATTTATTCTTCTCGTGTCCCTGCATCGCATCACAGTCATCTTTTGGCGCGCACAAGCGAAATGACGCTCCGCAAGCAGCCAACATATTATCGCAGCACACCGCACTCGAGACCTGTACACGTACAGCCTTCATTTAACAAACGAATGCAAGAAAATACAGAACTCCACACCACAACTGGCCAGCAGCGAAATGACACCAGGGGAGGGGAAAAGAAGAAGGAGAGACAAAGGGACTCCTGTCACAATCATCATGAGCGCGCGCACACATACACACACACACATACACACACACACACACACATACACACACACACACACACACACACACACACACACACACAGAGTCAGCTATCAACAGAGGGACACCGGCACGACCCTGCATCCACTCACATTTAAAGACTGCGTCGACACACCTCCCCTCACCCCCTTCCTCTCTTGCCGCCCCACCTCAACTCTGTGCACCTAGACTCGAAGACACTGCCACCTGCGCGCGCACACACCAGGTCAGGGCCCCAAAATGGAGTACACGCGACACTGCTGGTGGACGCCCACAACAAGGAAGAGCGGGGGCTGGAGGGCAGAACCGCAGAGGCGGATGCGAACCGGGTGAGTTGTGATGAGGTGATGGCACGCGAGCAGCTCCCCCGTGTCGCGCCACCACAGGCGAAGGTGACTGTCCGAGCCCATGCATGCAAGCACGCGCCCGCTGTCATCCAGGCACGGCATGTTGCCGTAGACGTGCGTGTTCACGTGCTCGGAAAACGTCACTAGAGGCGTGGAGAGGTCACGCCTGTCGTACACCGCCATCACCCCGCCCAGCTGCTGCACAAGCAGCCGCGCTCCCCCGTCCAGCGACAGCAGCGACGCAACGGAGTGCTTAAACTTGGCGCGGCGCGCAAATGAGCCATCATCAGCGAGGAGCCACAGCGAGCCGTCACGCTGCGCAAGCCACGCCTCTGTACCCTCACCGCCGACAATGGCGCACGCGGTGAAGTCGCTTCGTCCGCGCCGCGTCACGCACTGCACACAATCCTCTTGTTGCCGCTGTTGCTGTTGCCGCTGTTGCTGTTGCCGCTGTTGTTGTTGTCGGTAGAGGGTGGCGGTGCGTTCGCAGGCGACGATGCAGGCAAAGGGGCCACCGTCCGCAGGCTGGCTCACGCTCAGCATGGTCGGGCCACACATGCAGTTGTGCTTGCAGGCAACAGGCACGTGAACGGGGCGGTCATCTGGACCGACGACGAAAAACTCCATGCCACGCTCATACAGCATGTGCGACCCCTGACTGCAGTGCACAGGCCCTTGCACAACACGCGGGAGCGGCAGCAGCGGCGGCGTGGGCTCATGTGCCAACGGCAATCGCGGACACACCGATCGCGTGGGCGGTGGTGCCGATGATACTGATGATACAGCTGATGGTGTGGATGTGGAAGTGGATTGTGCTGATTGTGACAAAGGTGGTGGGCGTGGTGGTGGTGGTGGTGCTGTGTTTCCCCATGTCCTGCCATTTTCACCAGCACACAGTGTACGGGATGTCCACTGTTCATCATCACCGTCACAGTCACCACAACCACCATCATCACCATCATCACCAGATGTACCATGAGTTGTCAGCGTGGACGATACTACGGGCGTGGTGATGAAGACTGCGGCAGGCATGTCCACACCGCCACCACCACCAGCTCCAACAACAAGATCGTCGTCATCGCTTTCATCGTCGCTTTCGCCGTGACCACCTCTACCACCAACCGACACCAGCGCGCCTCCACGTCCATTCTGTCCACCACCATCGCCACCGTTGCTGGTGAGGGCATCGCGCTGCCAGTGCCGCAGCTGTCGCGCGCGCGAGTGGTGTGTAGGTGGTGCGCTGAGAGCTAGCGGGTGGGGGAAGAATGTGGACGGGTGCGCGACCGTGCACACCACAGCACGCGTTGCCAGGAGGGAGATGCGGGGCGGGTTGCCACGCGCATCCACACAGCCGATGCTGGCGATGGGGAACCCAACGGTCACGTGCGCCACCTTCCGCTGCAAGCCCGTCGCCCGTATCAGCAGCCGCGTCATCAGCTCACGGTATCGCGTGGTGGGCACTGCACTCACAACCGCGCACGTGTGGGCGGCGGCGGAGCTGCCAGCAGCGTCGCTGGGTGCCGATGTTGCGTCGTGCATGACAGGCCAAGATGGCAGTGTTGCACGGGCGAGACCAAGGCGGCCACTGCGCCATGCGTGCCGCACGCAGGCCAAGTTCTGCCATGCACAGTGGCCCTGCGGTGCGTTGAGCGTTGCTAGCCTGCTGCGACGCGCGCGTGCCTGCTGCTGCTGCCTGCGCCGCTCCTCCTGCTGCTTCTTCTGCGCTGCTGGTGATGCCGTTGCCGCGGGCGAGAAGACGGGCGGCTTCTGCCCAGGTTTGAGCTTGAAGTAGTTCTTCTTGAGCGGATCGTAGTAAAACCCAGGAAGCTTTCCGAGCGGTCCTTGCACCGCGGCAGCGTGCTCCGCTCCGGTGGGCGTGCCCCGCGGCTGCTGTTGTGTGGAGCGACGCGATCGCGATGATGATGATGATGATGATGATGATGACGACGATGATGGTTGTGGGTCTCCTCTGTGTCGTTCGGCGGCGTGTTTGCCGCGCTTGGGTGGCTGTGTTTGCTCTGGGTGTGGGGGATTGGCATGCCGTCGTCTGTGTCTTTGCGTCGCCCTGCTGTGATGCGGGCCACGTGCGCTACTGTGCACTCCTCCTCGTCCAGCAGCAGCACCCGCGGCACTGCGCTGGGGCATTGTTGCCGTGTGGGGCGAGGACGCAGAGGAAGCTTCCTGGTGCTGGTGATGATCACCTCTGTGTTGCTGTTGCTGTTGCTGTTGCTGTTGCTGTTGGTGCCCTCGTCTGCCCAGTGTCCTGCTGCTGCTCTGCTGCTGTTTCTTCTTCCTTTTCCTCCTCCTGCCTTTCCTCTTCGCCTCGTCCTGGTGTGGTGGCCGTTGCTTGTCTGGTCCCGCCATGGCCACGCGCCCCTGTATCGGTTCCTGTGCGCCAGTTCGATCGTGGCGTGCGCTCGCGTGTGCTCACTCACAACAACAACAGCACGACCACCCAAACCCACAGCAACCAGCAGAGGTCTTTGTCGCTCGCTCCAACCACGACGATGTGCGACCCAGAATAACGTTCTCGTCTGCCAAACGAACAAACAGCAGCAACGCCACAGCGAAGTTGGCGATTGTGGAGGATTGGCAATATCTTCAACACAAATTCTTGCCATTCTTGGCCTTCCTGGGTTGCCCGTCATCAGTTCCAGTCAGCAAGAGAAAGCAAGAAGCCAAGAAGCAACCGCAATCGCGCACACACACAGAGTACCCACCACCCACCACCACGACCAACACAGCCAGGGGTCGTTACTTTCGCAGCACGGTTCTGTCATTGGATTCTCTTCCTCTTCCTCCTCACGTACACAGAAGGTTCAACGGATACAAAGGTGAGAGGGGGATGTGGTGACAGTCGAGGTGGTGTTCATTTCCTTGATGTCCTCCCTTTGTTTGTGTTTTTCGATCTGTCGCTCATTTGGAACCGCCTTGTCGAATACTTGAGCTCACTTTTGTGGCGTCACGGGGTGTAGCCTCACACTTCTCTCGAGTCAGCTCTCGCCACTCACGCACACACCCACACACACACCCACACACACACACACACACACACACACACACACACACACACACACACACACACACACACACACACACACACACACACACACACACACACACACATTGCTGGTTCGTGCCCGCCAACGTTGCATCTCGCAAGGACACCCGCCTCACAAAGGGAAAAGCAATCACCATGTCATTGTTTGATTCATCCTCCTCGTCACAAGTCGGCTTGCATATCGGTGAGCATGCATGCACAAAGAACGCAAGGGGATAGAGGTGGCACAAGAGCAACGTGCGATGGTGTCATGGCATTGCAGTCCATATTGTTGTAGTCCTCCTCCTCCTCCTGTGTTGTGACTGTTGCTGCGATGATGGTGTGCTCACGTCAACCTGCACATGCATGTCGGATTGCGTGTTGTCGTGACCAGAGCAAGCGACGTCGCACGGCTCGTCGATCGACGACATCACCCTCCACTTGGAGATTTGTGACATGATCAACGAGACGCGCGACGGGTACGCGTGGTAGAAGTGCATGCATGCGTGTGCAAATGACTGTGTGAATGACTGTGGGTGACGATGTGGATGATTTGGGTTGCGTCGATGGGCTTTGTTTCGCGCGCGCGCGTGTGTGTGTGTGTGTGTGTGTGTGTGTGTGTGTGTGTGTGTGTGTGTGTGTGTGTGTGTGTGTGTGTTTGTTTGTGCGTGTCACGGCATGACTCAAGGAAGGATGTTGTGGCGGTGTTGTCCAGGCCCATGTCCAAATCGCCGCCCCATGCACACGCTCACGTCACGCACACCGCTCACACTTAACATGCTCTTCTAAATGCAGACACAAGCAAGCTGCAAAGGTGCTGAAGAAGAAGCTGAACCCCAAACTGGACGATGCGACGTTGATGAAGGCGCTTACGCTGCTGGAGACGTGTGTCAAGAACTGCTCCAAGCGCTTCCATCTTCAAGTCACAACCAAGGACTTTGTCAACACCCTCGTCAAGCTGCTCGAGAAGGTACATTGACCTGTGAGCGCGCGTGTGGATGTGTGTGTGTGTGTGTGCATGCGTGCGTGCATGCGTGCGTGCGTGCGTGTATGTGTGCTGGTAACCTTGTGTTTCGTGGCCCGAACCGACCACGCTCCACCCCTTCATTCACCCTCCTCGCCTGACCACCACGAATCATTACCAGACGCGCACGACGCTGGTGCGGGAGAAGGTGCTTGGCATTATCCAGGCGTGGGCGGATGCGTTTCGGTCAGACCCCAACATGCGCTACCTCTGCAACACGTACCAGGACCTCGTCCTCAAGGGCATCGAGTTCCCAGCACAGGTGTGTGTGTGTGTGTGTGTGTGTGCGTGTGTGTGTGTGTGTGTGTGCGTGTGTGTGCGTGTGTGTGTGTGTGTGTGTGTGTGTGTGTGTGTGTGTGTGTGCGCGTGAAGCCATTTTGTGCACCATCGCTCGTCTCCTCACTGCTGCACCCACGACCTTCCCGTCACACACAAACTCACGCACTCACACGCTCCCCACCCCACCCCACCCCACCAATGCCTCACCGCTGCCCGTTTGTGCAGAACCTTGACGAGATGGCGCCCATCCACACGCCGGCAGCCACGGTGTCGCACCCCGCGTACTCGGACGACACCCCAGATGAGGGCGATGAGGACGCAATTCCCGTCGACTACAGCAACGGCCACGGCGTTGGCGACGATGCTCAGGCTGATGTTGATGAGCCGCCCCACACGCCATACGATGACGGGACGAGCGGTCCTGCGTTCCCTGCGTTTGACGACGGCGCCGACGCCAACCCGGTGTCGCAGGTCATGTCTGACGAGGAGTACGCGCGCCAACTGGTGAGACTCTTGGTGCTGGTGTTTGATTCGTGGTGGTGTGCGTGCATGTATGTTGGCGTCCTGGCCGGTTGTGCTACCTTGTTCTGGGTTACAGACACGCGCATGCGCTTCTCACCCACCCACTCACTCTCACCCACTCACTCTCACCCACTCACTCTCACCCACTCACACAAACACTCTCACACACTCTTGCTCGACAGTCCCAGCAGTTTGCACAAGAAGAGCATCGGCAGCCGCAACAGCAACAACAGCCAATGCAACAGCATATCGTGTCGGTGCCCGAGGGCCAGCGCGTGATGGCATCGGAGCAGCAGCAGGAGAAGTTGCGTCAGGATTTGCTGATTGTGCGCAACAATTGCGAAATGCTGCATGAAATGCTCAGTGCTCTCGACCCTGATGCAACACTGGAGGGCCAGGATGTCATTCAGGACCTCC